TCAATAGTTTGTAAGGTCTTCCAATCTCGCCCATGCCTAAAATCAATCTCAGGTTGCAAATTTGAAACCACGACGGGTTTGCCACAAAATACCCAACACGAAATTAAAACAGTACCATGGAGAGCAGTTACTCTCCAAGCCAGGGACGAACGTACTCCAAAGCGCAAGATAAGCACAGTTTGTAGTCCTTGAGATCTTCGAGGATAGCAACCATCTTCAGCGTAAAAGGACCAAGTGGCATGGCGCTAGTCGGAGTCAGTCAGCTAATCGGTAGCTTGGGAAACTGGGCAGCAGCAAGACTGAGAACTTCACACGGATCCCTGCAGCATTCAAGTCACGACACACTGTTTATGAGATGCGCCCAGGGCATCAATGAAATTCAAGCAAACAGAAACTGGTGTGGCACTGTGGCACCTAGACTATCACAATCATGTCTGATGACGGAAGTTCTGGTTCTAGGGTTGATTCATCCGGTTAAAAAGCCATCCGCGCACATTCATCTCTGTATGGACATAAGAGTCACAAGAGGTTTCCAAGATATGACACGTTTGACATTGAACATCTTCCCAGCTATTTAGGCAGCCTAATTGACATGATGATAGCTGCGCTGCACATATCCAACACTCACACGCAGAAAATATATCAGCCAGCAAAAGGATTGCGAGGGCTCAGACTGACTCTAGAAGTTCAACAACAAAAACCTATGATTATGATTACACGAGCCGAACCAGTATCTCTTTGACAAAGTGGCATCTTGTTTCAGCTCACGTGGCTTCGTTGCGGTCTCACTCCCCTGGGAAACGTTACCGTATTCCGAATGAAACAAACCATCCAAAATTAGAAAACTATTGAACTGGAAGCGAGTGAAACAGCAAGCACGGCGACAAACGCACAGTGCAACTTTTGCGCGCCCGGGGTTCAACGAGTAGCCAGCTCAAACATAGGGTCATGAGGAAGGAATCCGCAGGCGTGCCACAAATCAGCCGCAGGGCCGGGAAAAAAGAAACACATCTGCGGACGCTGCGCAAATCAAAAGATCTACGGCTTGTCAAGTTCTACGCGATCGCCGTCATGATCACCAAGCTCAGGGTCTACCTCCTGAGGTTCCTCTTCCTCGCCCTCAGCCTTCTCCTCCGCCTCCTGACCAGCAGAGTTGCGCAGCGCTGCCTCTCGCGCTTCCTGACATCAATCTTCTTATCAAAAAAGAAAAAAGAGAGAACATTGAAGACTCACAATATATCTCAAACTGGCTGGTAAGCTGAGCATCAACCATGCTCCGCACTTCCTCGATAGATTTACCGGCTCGAAGCATAGTAGCAGCATCGTCCGCAATGGGACGAAACTCCTCCCGATCCAGGTCATGCCCTCCAACCTGAACGCATGATGATGAAGCGCTAGTAGCCATGCATCAACATGGCAAACTTCTTCAACACAACCAAAACCCCGACCACAGCGCTGCGGCAAAGACTGCCAACCATAAACAGAAAGAACTCCACAACGGGAGCAGCAGAAGTAACGATTAATTAATGATCAAAACAACGTTAACAATCACTACCCTGACCACCCAAAAGCTAACAACCATCAGCAACAAATAGCAACAATGTACAACCCCGCACGCACCAAAAACAGAAAGCATTAAAAATAGGACGATTATCCTCACAGCTAAGACCACAACCGCCAACGCATTCCCGAAACAATCGTAAACAGCCTCGACACTCACGGTAACCACCACCACCACCACCACCACAACGACAACAACCGCAAACAGAAAGCAACGAAACAGTACCAGCAAACAATTTATTAAGTAAGTAGTAGGCAAGAGTGGCAACAGCTTCCAAACAACACACCCGACCAAGAAGCAAACGCAGCAACAACCACACTTCCACTGACTGAGAAGACAGGGAGAAAAGAGCTGACCAAGAAGCAGGCAAGCTGACGGACAAGTAGCCACCCCTCACACGCCAATGCCATTTCCAAGCAGTCGTCTTAGCAGTTTTTAATTTATTTAAAAACTGCTGAACAATAATCTAACCGCTTTAACCCTGCAGCAAACTCAGAACTTAAGGAGACAGTGCAAACAAAAACACAAAGTACTTTAGGAGGCAATGGATACAAAATGGCGAAGTCAAATTCGTAGCCAGTCATAAGAAACTAACAATTCAATATTATACTGAAATAGAGGCAGCCAAAAAACACGGATCTTTTCACTGTCATTGACTTTGATGCCGAACTTGTTGAGCCTTCCGATCCAGTAGGGGTTAGTCACTTTCTCACCTGCAACGACGATTCGGAACTAAAGGTATGGGATGTGGGCGCTAAGCATGGGTCAAGTCTTGGGCCAAATCAAAAACCAAGCCCGCCTTTTGGATTGTTTCCAGCCTTCTGCCTTTTTGGGCCATCTGTCTTTGGCTTCGCCTTCTCCTTATCATGTTTCTCCTTCTTCTTCTCCTCATCTGGTTTCTCCTGGTCCTCCTCAGGTTTCTCCTCGCCCTCCTCAGGTTTCTCCTTGCTCTGTTTTTCTTTACTTGCATCATCTTCTATCTCGTCTTCTGCCGTCTCAGCAAGTTCCTTGCCGCTTTTCATGGCCGCTGCCGGGCGCTTCTTGGGCAGGGTTTTCATCGGCAAAACTTTGGCGCTGGCTTTTGTCTCCTTCGTCTCTTTCTCAGGCTCGACTGGTTCAGAAGATGGTTTTTCTTCCTCTTCCTTCTTTGGTTCTTGCGCGCGTGGCATTGACTTCTGTTTCGGCTTTGGCTTCATCTTTGGGTTCTTTTTTGCAGATGCCTTTACTTTCGGCTTCGGTGCAGGGGTCTCTTCCTCAGCTAAGTTAGTTAAGACCGAAGTAAACTAGCAACAGTCTTGCCAAAAAGTCAACACACGCATGCCGAAAATGAATCTCGTTGATGACGAGGCTCCTCACTTCCAGAGAGGGCGACCACAGTGGTGATCGGCATGACTACACAGATGCAACACAAAAATGCGCAAAGGCCAGCGTTCAATACACTTGAACCCTCAAACGATGCCTAGGGTGAAGGCGAAGCTCAAATTGACAATCTAAAAAACAGCAAGCCGGCGCATTCCTTTCAAGGAATACAGCATACTCCTGGTCCACTACGCAGGTTCTCTGACACAAAATGATAGTTTTCAGCAAATCTCGAACTGCCGGTCACAATGCTCAAAATGGCCTAGAGAGCCCGTCCGCGCCCCGAACGCCGCTGGCTTCACACGTGCGATGCTCTGATGACAAACCTAAAACCCCGCCAACCCCAAAGGTGAAGCGCGTGAGCCGAGGGCTGAGCAGGACTAAGTTTAACTCGCGCAACAAGTTTGGATATGTTTTGACACCGGGCTTGATGGACAGAAAACATGCACCCCCAGCAAAGGAGTTTTCACCAAACAGTTTACTGTGGCCGGGCTCTGTGGCCGGGTCGTGTCCTCCTTTTGTCCTTCTCTTGTCCTGCTGGCGTCCTCCTATTGTCCTGGTCCTCTGTCCGCGCTGACCAGCCCTGGACACACTGACTGGCCGCGCCCCTGAACTCTGTGGCCGGGCTCTGTGACTGGGTCTTAGTCCTCCTCTTGTCTTCTCTTGCCCTGCTCTTCCCTTGTCTTCTCTTCTGGCCAAACAATTAGCGATGTCGACGCCGACAGAAATCATTGATATAATTAAATTTGCTCTTGGGGGAAGGTAGGGCATACCAAGAAATCGTTGTTGACTAATATTGGTCTTGTGGTCTAGGCTATGCTGGTATAATTTCTACAAACAAATGGGATATGGACCCAGTTGAGAATCGCAGCGTTCAAGTATTACTACTCTTTTAGAACATCTTTGAACTTTGCAGGGATGCCCAAATCCAAAAATACAAAATATAAACAAATAGAGTACATCAAAAAAACAACTACAAACAATTTAAAAGCAAAACTATTTAAAGCAACACACAAACAAGCAATCAAACAAACAAACAAACGAACAAAAAAGCAAGCAAGCAAGCAAGCAAGCAAGAAAGCCAGTAAATAAATAAAGAACAATAGAGGAAGATAGATAGAGGTTTTAGGGTTTCAAGGGTACTGTTTTTAGGGTTCAGGGCTTAATGCTTAGAGTTCAAACCGTTTAAGGTGCGCTCGAGAAAGTCGAGGGCATGACACCGAAAGACTTGCCACTTAAGGCTAGCGAATCCTTCGAACAATTTAGGGGGCGCAATAGTTTCGCGAAGTCTGGACACATTTATGATCCCGGAGTTTTTTCAAAAGCCTGAAACCAAATGAGACCAAGTATGTTGACGTTGTGGTTTTGATGAATACTTCTCAACTTGTCAATGAACTTTTCACAGTAACCATGAGCCTACTACCATGACTTCCCTGCTTATTCACGCTGATGATTGGCAAAACTCAGAAGTGAAAAGGGTTGATATCAAACGCCTACCGTGAATATTTTGAAGTTCTTGCTGCGTGAAAGAAACAAGTCACGAGAGATGCACTATCATTAGGTCAGATGTGACCCCGCGATTCCAAGTGCTTAGCGCGATCAACAAAGATACGTATAACGCAGCCAATGAATCCGTGGCGGAAGGGACGGCGGTTGTCTCCAGGAAGTGGATTGAACAAAATAGACTTCACAAGTCTCTAAGTAAGATTTCGCCAGCAAAGCTACTGGGCATCTGGACCGGCAGAGCTCGACAATGCCTACTACGACTGTGCTCATTAATTTTTCAGAAACTAGAAACAAGAGAAGGTGGGCAAAACTTTGAAGGGTAAACGTCATCAACAGCACTTCGGATGGAGGTTGTCTAAGGGAAACATATGGACATGAACTTTCAATACCGTGTCTGCGGCATTCAGTTGGAGAAATATGAGCTCGTCGCGCCGACCTTCCACGCGTGACCCGACAATCAGAAGGGCTCGGAAAATCTGTCCATCAGAAGACCAGGTTCAAGTCAACTTGCACCATGAGTGAGGGTCCAAAGAGATCTTGCAAGTGAGGTAGGCCTTTGGTTTCTTTGCCATAATCATCGGTGGAGAAGAGCTGGTCTCGACCTGGCCGCTGATGTGTCAAAATCAGAGTGATTGGACCAATCCCAATCAGAGTGGTCGTCGTCCGGCATTTGGTTGACTATGGTTGCAAAAAAAGCGACAACGACGTTTTCGCGCTTTTGACAAGAACAAACGCGAGCCTCCCACAAGACACAGGCCAAATTATTCTGGACCACCTTCTGGTAACTGTTGTTGTAGAGGGCTCCAAAAGTGCGATGGGTTGGAACAGTCTCTGACTCGAATGCGTTCGGTTTGAACAAATGTGTCCTCCCCGACTCCAAGGCTGTGATCGTGTAGCGGAAGCACATGGGAACAGCGTCTGCACCAGTAGTGGCCTCTTGCCGTGAAGACTGGTGAAGACTGACAAAAACACCTTCAACTAAAATCTGAAAAACTGTAGTCAAAACCTGTGCCTCAAATCAATATTATGTTACATATTATGCTATCATATAATATTCATTTAGGGTTTAGGCTTTAGGGTTGCGGGTTATGAATATAGATACATACGCAAGAATTTGATGGAGACAAGCCTCATGCATTCGCTGCTCCATTTTGTGGTCTTCAATGGTCAGCGACCCGATTCCCTTCTCTGTGGCAAGGTATCGGAGGTACTCGCACACAGCCATGACCTTCTTGTCCTCTGTCACAATCAGCTCCAAGTCGTTGCGGAAGCGCAGCACCAATCCGTTCGGATCTGTGAGCACACCACCTCAAAGCAGTACAGTATAAGTAGTTACTCGATGTTACTCAAACTCAAAGAAAACACGTTTGAAACCAAGTCTATAAATGGGATTTAGTAAAAAACGTGGGCGTTCATTTAGATTATAACGTTGGAACACCTGGCATTCTAATAGGTTCTCAATAGAATCAGCACAACCAGTCCAAACACTTGCTATGACACTTGCCCTCATATTTGTCTGGTCTGGTTTGAAGCCACGCAACCTAACCGTAAGACCAATTACCGCGACAAGTCGAGCAGGGAACCATCCAACATGTCTTGCGCAGTAGTCTCCCTTGAACCGTGTTGCATTTCCATTGTTCACACGAAATATGAACAACAAAGCCTACTACGGGGCAGAAGGATGCTAGCACAAATCCAGAGCAATAGGCCATGCAACACACAGGGTCTCTTCTCACAGGATCACTGCAGGGACCTTGTTCATCTCTCTACAAGATACTCTTGAAGCAAGCTTATTTGGCAAGGAACTTTGCAAATGACTTTTCAAGGTCTCAGGGACATGGGTTTGTGAATGTCTGCCTGATTTCTGGGCAACAAACTCTACCGAGCCAAGGAACTGCTCAGGGTGATCTCTTCATAGTTACCCGTGCTGAATCCAAACAGCTCCCCAGCTTCCAAGTTGAGCTGGGCGTCGCTGGTGTTGCCAATCCACAAATCGTAGGTGGTCGTGAGAGCCAGGGCCGGTCTGCCATTCCTCATGGCACAAGAACCAAGCCTTCAGGGCCAGAGACTGACTACCTACTTGCAAAAACAATTGCGCCCAAAATGCAGCGTTTAGCAAACGTGCTTTTAAACCTGTACATTGACATGGAGCCTTGTCACACTGAAGTCCGCTTCCTTGACAACTGGCAGGGACACCTGCTTGGTGAAATCCAAAGGCGATAGTCCACCGTCGACGCTGAAGTCACACAAACCACCAACCCGCAGGGGCACTGACACAGAAGCAGCCCGAGCTGCAGACTCAGGCCGAGAAGGGAATTTGCTCAGAAATTCACCGTGCTTTACCTTCAAAGAAGCTTGCTCGGTGCTTCCATCAGGAAAACGATCCCACAAGACTTCTGGCCATATTGGGTGACCTCTCTGCCACGCCAAGACTTGCAGGTCAGGCGCAGCATTCGAATCAGGGGCATCACCTTCTTGAGGTCGAGTCTTCGGCGGCGCTTCGGTGCTCTCATCCCAAAAGTTCCACACTTGGCTCCTCAGCGCTTTCGAAATGTCCGAAATTGAAGAGCCCGCCCCAGGCCCATCCTGCTTTCTGATAAAGCCGATGTACCGCAACGGTGAAGTGGGATCAGCCAACCGTTTCTGCACGACTGCTCTGCCAAACTCATTCTGCCTGGAAACGGATGGGCAGTGATGATCAGACTGGAAGCCCAAGCAGACTGCAACCAAACATCCCCAAACAAAAAATCAAAAGTTTCACTGCGCGAACCTGTTTGGCACCACATCGCAAATGATGACACGATCCTCTTGTTTGATATCCATGCCCTCCATGTATCCCGTCATCAGGGCTAAGTGCGCCTCTGTTCCCTTCCTGTGTGGACCAAAAACATTTAAAAAATAATCTGGTAACGGGTAAAAAGGTCCAGCTGCAGCGTCTACATATTGGCAACTTCGGGCAACATAGAATCGATTGGGTCATAGTAAAAAAACTCAATGGCAAGCATCTGCTCCACCCGAGCTTGAGCCGATGGCCGCGTTGTTTCATCAAAGCCGATGAAGTCGCTGAACTTGAGAAATGGCGCTGGCCCAACTCTGCCCTTCGAGACTGCCTCCGAGCTCAGCCACACCGGGTTGTCGAAGTTGTTGTGAAGAAGCGCCAAGCATGGCTGACTGAGCGCCCTGTTGTCTCGACCTCCCCCATCAGTCTTCGTGAACAAGAGCTGCACCTGGTACAGGATGTTCAGGTTGGCCTTCGTAAACTGATCCTCAAGGAGCCGTCTGTGTTTTATAACGGCTGTGTGAGAGGTCTGCGCCTGGTTCACAGGGAGCTGAGTATGGCAGAAAGCAGCAGGACTCAAAGCCAGAATGTTCGCCACGGCAATGCCACTCTGACGCACATAGTGGGCGTTCGATGGAAAGACGGTTGCATCGTAGCAGCACATGATATACCTAACATCACTGCACCAATCCCCTCAAGCACCCAACAAAAAAGCAAAGGTTCAAAACATTCGCCTCAAGCACCGAGCAAAACGCTACAGGGCTAACCAAAAAAGAACAAATGATTGACCAGTTACTCCTTTCCAGGAATTCCTCGGAACTGCTCTTTGAACGCCAGCAATCCAGGCACCACTGCATTCATGTCGGGCTCAACTTCTAGCAGCTTGCAGTTTTCTGCCATCCATGTGTCCACAAACTTCTCTCCCTTCCTTGGCCAGAGATGAACTTATGGGTCTGACATGACCATGATCATGACAAATCCATCCGTGCGACAAAAACTTCACATATATATATATATATTCAGCCCAAAAAGATAAATATATATGTATACACAAGAAACGCAGCCACGCGCTTCAAAGCGTCAACTGCCTCTCGTACAGGTACTTCATGTCTTTCGCTGTTTCCACAGCTCTGGAAGCACTGTTGTTCTCCCGCGATGCAAGCACAGTCAAATCTGAATCGATCCGGGCAAGCAGCTGCGTCAGATCGGCAGCTCGCACACTTGCAGCATGTTCCTGCTCTACTTTCAGCTTCTCGCTCCTCACACTTTGCTCCACCCTGGCAATATGTGTCCTGCTTGGCGTGGTTGGGTCTGATCAAGAACAGCTCTTTAAAGGACTGGTAAATCTTCCCTTGTTACGTCGAAAAACATTCTGGACACCAGGAAATGAATCAAACAAAAGGGGTGCAACTCTCATGAGATTTGAAGATTCAATGGTAACAAAACCGAAGGTTGTAAAGAAGAAGTCGGTCCGGAAGGCTCCGACCATCTGAGCATCTCCTGGGGGAACTGTCGCATCCAAAGAGTGTAGGATATCAGGATCAAGATACCCAAAGCGAAATTGATTTCGCAGATCGGATTCCATCGCTGCGAACTCCCCAGATGGCGCAATTTTCTGAAGAACATTCAAGTAGTGGAGGAACCCTCCGCATGCTTGATGTTTGCTGAGAGCATCCCGGTACGTCAGTGGCTTGCGCATCTGCGGAGCACATCCATCATGGTCGGCCAACATTCGTTCCAAGAACAGCATGACCTAAGTCAGTGTGGCGGTGGAAATTTCAGAAATCAAACTGGTCAAGGTTTCAACATGATCGATGCCAACTCCATGGCAACAACAAACCCCAGGGTTCCAAACACCACCATTGCTACCAGCCCAGTCACTAACTGATCCCCCTCGCGGTTGCGCAACTCCTCCTTCCATTGCTCCAAAGAGTTGACTCCTGACGAGAAGCCCTTGTTAAAGACCTCCTTGGCCAAGACTTCATGGGTGAGAAGCTTGGTCATGCCTCTTGTCCGAACAGCGTCTGTCAACGTCTTCACCACAGGAGGCGGAATTCGAAGCCTCAAGTTGAAGACCGCCTCTGCTTCCAACTTGCCGAGGGAAAATGCCTTCGCGACTGCGGTTGCATTGTTCCATTCCTGATCACTGGCAAAAACATCACAAGCGTGCCTGGCGACAATCTGCGAAAAGAAAACACATGACTCATTGCGACTGTCACATGGCGTTCTGACCCAATGACCAAACTGAAAGAAAGTCCGTCCTCCATCTGTTGCTTGACCCCTGGACCACCACTCCGTTCAATAATTTCCACTTGGCGTAAGAAATTGAGTGCGTGGGGAGGCCGACGGGTCTGTGTGTGCTGGAGCGTTGCACCTTACACGTCGCCATCGGGGTTCTTCTCAAAATGCCGGAAAACAATCACACGAAACAGTCAGACTGTGGAACAGATCGAGCAAATTCTTGACTTGCAACAACGTAAGAATGGAAACAAACCAGCCTCGGTTTGCCATAACTTTGCCCTTGGTGTCATCTGCAAAGACCCCGAACGAAGCATGAATGGTTCCAAAGCTCACCTCCGTGAAGGAGGTGGTGTGTGGTTCCACGTGTTTCCCGACACGTGAAACGACATCATAAAAAACTCAAACTAATAAATGACCCTGCCTTCACCCAGTGTGGCACGTCATCCTGGAGGTCCAGCTCCCGAATACCCTGAATAGTGATTAGAAGCATGACTCCTCGTTTCCAACCTTTTACGTATGCCGTCGAGAATGGCGGTAGCATTCCACCTGGGCAAGCAAACAGAAAATCACAACCTGGCCCTTGCAAACCCACCAATGAGCAGTAGCGGTTGCCCAAAAATCTGGCTAGGCACTCCCGATGACTGCGGGCAATTCCTTGTACTCTGCTTCCAAATAGGCGGCTGGAACAGCTGTCATTGACAGCTTCTCAGTCCCGACTCGGTCAGGGTCTGACGCAAACCTAACAGCAAAAAGTCAACACTGTCGCAGGATAACCGACAGAGCACCAAGTAAGTCCCCTAGACTAGTGGATATCGGCACTGCAGCATTGAATCTTTAGCTGCTGAGCGTCTGACCCCTCCGTGAGAATCAATTGCATGAGCAATTCAGCCACCTCCGGGTCCATGTAACCAGAGACGCCGAAGTCAGCGCGGAACCCCAACATCCATGGTCTGAGTAAACACGGGCGCTCCATGGATGAGGCATACACCTTCCTGAAGCACTTGGCACAAAATAGACACTGGAATCATGCGGTTCATAGCCGACCCTCCTGTTCGAATGAAATTGAAGGCATCTTAGGCCCGCTCAAACCGTCAGCTGGCGCAAAGCCATCGATGAACTCTGCGAATTTCAGCAGGCTGTCCTACAACAGATTGAAACTCATGATCCTGGGCTACATGTCAAACAGTTTCTCCAACAGCAGTACAGTAATTTTGCATGAGCCACATCAACAGTGTCCTGATCTGGGTATTTCTTTGCAAGATACTCTGACGGCCCACCAGCGGGCATGACAGAGTTTGCCAACCTAGGCTTTCAAATAGCCAAGTTAGAAAAATATTTTCTGTGGCGCTTGCGTTCAATTCGTAAACAGCAAAGCCGCAGGTCTTGCGCTGAGAAGCCAGTCTGTCAGCTTCCCAACGTGTGGCATATTCAGCAACTTGTCCGGATCAGCCTTGCCTGAGGCCTTCAGTTTCTTTCCGGAATCAAGACCTTCCGAGCTCTTGCGCTTCTTAGGCGCCATGGCCCAGAAAGCACAGACTTTTCAGTCACCCAAACTCCCAAACCCTCTCAAACGGAGCCTGGACTGACAGCAGGAGAAAATAATTTGAAGGCAGCCCGGCCCGCCCAAAAATGTGCGGAGATTCCACTCCAACATCTTTCCTCAACATACGTCTCAGGTAGGGTGGAAACAAAATCCCCGCGACACACACCTTTCTCCTTTTGCCACGCGCCATTATCATCTGTAACACTCTATGAAGACATCAGAGTGGCTATTATGGCAAAGACCCCATATACCTTTTGCGTATATAATGCTGTTCGCTGTTTCATGGAATGTATGTTCATACCTCTGTCATCGATGTCCTCACTTCAGCAAATTAGAGTACCTAGCACTAGGACCGGGAAAGTGACCAAATACTACTTTCCATTTCTGTGCCAGGCTTCATTCTAAGGTTTTCAGCCATGAACCTTCCACTTTCGCTGGTTGCAGGGTTGTTAGGATACTGAAAATGCAAAATACTCATGATTTCTTCGTTGCTTTGTAAACATGGAAAGGACGTGTATGGATGCGTTTATCTATATAAATTGATCGGGCTCTTTAAATTTGACTGCGATGAAATCCGTGGTTGGGAGGTCAATCACAACTTAGTAAGGCTTCAGGACTAAAACCAGCTTAGCAGTTGAAGATGCCACCTTGTCAGTCAGTCAGGCGTGTCAGGTCTTGAGTTGAGGGTTTTAGGGAATTGACAACCTAGGGTCCGAAGTTTTGACATTTCCAAATTGAACCCACCAATGACCAGCCACCCTGCTATCAAGATTGACAACATCACCACGGCCAACTGAAGGTGACTAATCCACCAGAATTCATGTCGCCAAAAGAAAAGAACACACAGGTAAACAGGTAAACCCAACCGTTTTCGCCAACGCGTTTCGCGAATCGGATCCTGACCGATTGGATTTATCAAACAGTTCGCGAATCGGATCCTGACCGATTGGATTTACCAATTAGGATACAAAGTCGGATGTGGGCAAAATGGACTCAGCAACAACTGCTGTTGAATCATTATTCACACAAGGCTAATCATGTTGCGCCACAACAAGAGTGGCTCGCAAACGACGGAAGTCTACACCATAGATTTGGGGACGGATTAGACCTCTGATTGGACTCAGGAAAAATCCGACTCAGGAAAAATCCGATTCAGAAAAACCGTTGTAACAACCGGCCCAGTGCCAGGTGTTGGAGACCAATCCGACCTCTGATCCGATTCAGGAAAAATCCGATTCAGAAAAACCGTTGTAACAACCGGCCCAGTGCCAGGTGTTGGGGACCAATCCGACCTCTGATCCGATTCGGGAAAAATCCGCCTCTGACAAATCATTGTACTAAATTGACACCAAACAACCAACTAGGTGGAAAAGCTGCGGTTGTGAAAATTGGTCCCATACAAAGCCAAATGGACAAGCATGGTTCCGAGGACCAATTGGACCTGCGGTTGGATTCGGGCCAACACATGACTTTATAAAAACAAGAAAGAACAAATTGGTCCCAAACAATGCCAAATAGAGAACGTGGTTTTGGGGACCAATCACACCTGTGATTGGTCTTGAATCAGTCTTAAAAAGCTTGGCCTCGAAGATTTAACTTGCCACAAATTAGTCTCCAGATGAACAATATTTTGAAGCCCAAATTGGGGACCAATCTGAGGTCAGATCGGTAGCCAACAGCAATGTCCCCACAAACATGTAAACGCGTGTGAATTTTGACTTACAGCTGTTCTTATCGTCAGGCATGTTTGGGGACCAATGTCAGGTCAGATCAGTCCCCCAAACCCAGCTGAAATTACTCCCTAAGATAGGACCAATTTGGCAATCCACTTACATCCAATTTTGATTTTTGTCGACTTGCAAAACCCTGCAAATTTGAATACACGGCGTTCGGGACCGATCCCGGGTCAAATTGGTCCTGAGCCCGCGGCCCCGCA